TAAATGCAAGAATTATGTGGATTAAAGTAAAGGTTGGATGCGAGAAGTGGGTCATAATACGCGTGTATGCACCTGGAGAAGAGAGGAATGCAGAGGAGAGAGAGAGATTTTGGGAGATGTTAAGTGAATGTATAGGAGCCTTTGAACCAAGTGAGGGAGTAATTGTGGTAGGGGACCTGAATGCTAAAGTAGGAGAAACTTTTAGAGAGGGTGTGGTAGGTAAGTTTGGGTTGCCAGGTGTAAATGATAATGGGAGCCCTTTGATTGAACTTTGTATAGAAAGGGGTTTAGTTATAGGTAATACATATTTTAAGAAAAAGAGGATAAATAAGTATACAAGATATGATGTAGGGCGAAATGACAGTAGTTTGTTGGATTATGTATTGGTAGATAAAAGACTGTTGAGTAGACTTCAGGATGTACATGTTTATTGAGGGGCCACAGATATATCAGATCACTTTCTAGTTGTAGCTACACTGAGAGTAAAAGGTAGATGGGATACAAGGAGAATAGAAGCATCAGGGAAGAGAGAGGTGAAGGTTTATAAACTAAAAGAGGAGGCAGTTAGGGAAAGATATAAACAGCTATTGGAGGATAGATGGGCTAATGAGAGCATAGGCAATGGGGTCGAAGAGGTATGGGGTAGGTTTAAAAATGTAGTGTTAGAGTGTTCAGCAGAAGTTTGTGGTTACAGGAAAGTGGGTGCGGGAGGGAAGAGGAGCGATTGGTGGAATGATGATGTAAAGAGAGTAGTAAGGGAGAAAAAGTTAGCATATGAGAAGTTTTTACAAAGTAGAAGTGATGCAAGGAGGGAAGAGTATATGGAGAAAGAGAGAGAGGTTAAGAGAGTGGTGAGGCAATGTAAAAAGAGAGCAAATGAGAGAGTGGGTGAGATGTTATCAACAAATTTTGTTGAAAATAAGAAAAAGTTTTGGAGTGAGATTAACAAGGAAGCCTAGAGAACAAATGGATTTGTCAGTTAAAAATAGGAGAGGAGAGTTATTAAATGGAGAGTTAGAGGTATTGGGAAGATGGAGGGAATATTTTGAGGAATTGTTAAATGTTGATGAAGATAGGGAAGCTGTGATTTCGTGTATAGGGCAAGGAGGAATAACATCTTGTAGGAGTGAGGAAGAGCCAGTTGTGAGTGTGGGGGAAGTTCGTGAGGCAGTAGGTAAAATGAAAGGGGGTAAGGCAGCCGGGATTGATGGGATAAAGATAGAAATGTTAAAAGCAGGTGGGGATATAGTTTTGGAGTGGTTGGTGCAATTATTTAATAAATGTATGGAAGAGGGTAAGGTACCTACGGATTGGCAGAGAGCATGCATAGTTCCTTTGTATAAAGGCAAAGGGGACAAAAGAGAGTGCAAAAATTATAGGGGGATAAGTCTGTTGAGTATACCTGGTAAAGTGTATGGTAGAGTTATTATTGAAAGAATTAAAAGTAAGACTGAGAATAGGATAGCAGATGAACAAGGAGGCTTTAGGAAAGGTAGGGGTGTGTGGACCAGGTGTTTACAGTGAAACATATAAGTGAACAGTATTTAGATAAGGCTAAAAGAGGTCTTTGTGGCATTTATGGATTTGGAAAAGGCGTATGACAGGGTGGATAGGGGGGCAATGTGGCAGATGTTGCAGGTGTATGGTGTAGGAGGTAGGTTACTGAAAGCAGTGAAGAGTTTTTACGAGGATAGTGAGGCTCAAGTTAGAGTACATAGGAAAGAGGGAAATTATTTCCCAGTAAAAGTAGGCCTTAGACAGGGATGTGTGATGTCACCGTGGTTGTTTAATATATTTATAGATGGGGTTGTAAGAGAAGTAAATGCGAGGGTCTTGACAAGAGGCGTGGAGTTAAAAGATAAGGAATCACACATAAAGTGGGAGTTGTCACAGTTGCTCTTTGCTGATGACACTGTGCTCTTGGGAGATTCTGAAGAGAAGTTACAGAGATTGGTGGATGAATTTGGTAGGGTGTGCAAAAGAAGAAAACAGGAAAGAGTAAGGTTATGAGGATAACAAAAAGATTAGGTGATGAAAGATTGGATATCAGATTGGAGGGAGAGAGTATGGAGGAGGTGAATGTATTCAGATATTTGGGAGTGGACTGTCAGCGGATGGTCTATGAAGGATGAGGTGAATCATAGAATTGATGAGGGGAAAAGGGGTGAGTGGTGCACTTAGGAGTCTGTGGAGACAAAGAAACTTTGTCCTTGGAGGGAAAGAGGGGAATGTATGAGAGTATAGTTTTACCAACACTCTTATATGGGTGTGAAGCATGGGTGATGAATGTTGCAGCGAGGAGAAGGCTGGAGGCAGTGGAGATGTCATGTCAGAGGGCAATGTGTGGTGTGAATATAATGCAGAGAATTCGTAGTTTGGAAGTTAGGAGGAGGTGCGGGATTACCAAAACTGTTGTCCAGAGGGCTGAGGAAGGGTTGTTGAGGTGGTTCGGACATGTAGAGAGAATGGAGCGAAACAGAATGACTTCAAGAGTGTATCAGTCTGTAGTAGAAGGAAGGCGGGTAGGAGTCGGCCTAGGAATGGTTGGAGGGAGGGGGTAAAGGAGGTTTTGTGTGCGAGGGGCTTGGACTTCCAGCAGGCGTGCGTGAGCGTGTTTGATAGGAGTGAATGAGACGAATGGTTTTTATACTTGACGTGCTGTTGGAGTGTGAGCAAAGTAACATTTATGAAGGGGTTCAGGGAAACCGGCAGGCCGGACTTGAGTCCTGGAGATGGGAAGTACAGTGCCTGCACTCTGAAGGAGGGGTGTTAATGTTGCAGTTTAAAAACTGTAGTGTAAAGCACCCTTCTGGCAAGACAGTGATGGAGTGAATGATGGTGAAAGTTTTTCTTTTTCGGGCCACCCTGCCTTGGTGGGAATCGGCCAGTGTGATAAAAAAAATATATATATATATATATAGTTTCTACCAATCAACAGATGATCCAGAATATTAGTGCCGTTTTACCAGGAGCACGAGCATTGATCCAGCCAATAGCACTCTCCTCGGTGCTCCTCTTGGGTCCAATGCCATCGATCTGATCCTAGGAAAAAAAGTCTCAGACCTCCGGACGATGGAAAGCAGGATGAAAGACATTGACAACACACGATGCCTTCTACCTTCTCACCAGGTGCCTGTCAATCCCAAAACTTACCTATTTTCTGAGATGCCCCAGCCTTCAGCATCCAAAACTCAAGGAATATGACTCTCTCCTGAAGGCCATGCTAGAGAGTGTATGAATCTTTCCCTTGATGATGGACAGTGGTTGCAAGCCTCACTTCCGGTCAGGCTTGGAGGGCTAGGAGTACGCAGATCCTCCCAGATTGCTCTACCAGCTTTCCTGTCCTCTTCCATTGCATCAAACGAGTTGATAAGACAAATTCTTCTTGACACCTTAGTGACTCAGCAGGATAGAAGACCCTAGCTATGCCAGTGCCATCACCGAATGGGAGACTCTTGCTGCTCCAGCACCAAACCCTAGTGCAGCACTGGCTCACAAACAGTCAAGCTGGGATGGCCCAATTGCTGAAAAGGTGCTTGCCAACATTCTCAGGGCTGCAACATCAGATAGGGAGATTGGCCCGTCTCCAGGCTGTGAGTGCACATCACTCCGGGGACTTCCTCCAAACAGTTCCCATATCGGCAATGGGAACGCGACTCGATCCTAAGACCCTCCATATTGCAGTGGCTCTGCGCCTTGCTGCCCCAATTCACACAGAATATATGTGTATTTGCGGCGAAGTGCAAGCAGACCAATACGGTCTACATGGTCTTAACTGTTCCAAAACCAAGGGCTGGCATGCAAGACACAATGAGGTCAACGACATCATTAAGAGAACCCTTGCTACAGCTGGATGCCCTGCCGAGAGGGAGCCACGATCCCTTGCAGCAAACAATACCCACAACCCAGCAAACCGCCCCGACGGGATCACCATCTATCCTTGGAAGAATGGCAAGCTCTTAGCATGGGACTATACCTGTGTGTCCACACTGGCTGACACCTATATCCATCACAGTGGGGCGACAGGGAGGAGCTGCTGACCACAGGGAGGAGTACAAGATCAGCAAGTACAGGGACATTAGCCAACAGTATCAATTTGTCCCAGTGGGATCAGAGACCTTGGGATCATGGGGAAAAATGCCACACGTTTCCTTAAAGAATTGGGTTCCAGACTCATCGACACCACCAGGGACCCAAGGGCAGCCACTTTCATGTTCCAGCGCCTCAGCGTCGCCATCCAGAGGGGAAATGCTTGCTGCATACTTGGCTCACGTCCAGCCTCGGAGGAGCTGGAGGAAATTCATGATCTTTGATACATTGTGCCATTGTATTCATGTTTATGTTTTTTTCTGTAAATGTATTTTGTTTATTAATAAATGTTCACATAGAATAAAAAATATATAGGGGGTGGTAGGAGAAGAAAATATTCAAACAGCTCCGAGGAGAACCTTGAGTTTTCCCTGAGGTACGTTTATTGTCTTCTCTGAGGATGAGGGTCCCCAGTCCAGCTATAGAGGTGGTACTTCCCATAATATATATATATATATATATATATATATATATATATATATATATATATATATATATATATATATATATATATATATATATATATATATACAGTAGGATATGCTGTAACGAACGGTGCATTACAAAAAATATATATCATTGATTTTAACTAACAATAAATATATTAAAATTAACGTATGATGTATATAGCAGAATTTAGTTAAAAAAAATTACGTTAGTTTGTGGGAGTTTATATTATTGTTAACGAAAAAAAAATTTACTATCAGTCTGAATGTTTGTTTTTGGTAACACTTTAATTTTTTAGTGAATTCGGCCCAAATAATATTCTACGTTTCACTATATATTTTAAAGTCTTGGGCAAGTTCAGTTCTGCTTAATAATGTTTGGCTTACGTGTTACCCACGAAGTTTAGAGCAGTAGTACATAGGTTACAGTGTGTTTACGTCTCATCACCATCATTGCTTTTTCAGGGAACCTGACGACAGTGACCAGCGGGATCCTCTGCTGGGCGTCACCACCCACCTGAACTCCACCACTGCTGCAGCTACTGCTGCAGACGGCGCCGCCAGGGAAGTCCCAACCTCCCCTCGTCAGTCCAGCAGCACCACGTCAGAAGTAGCCTTACCTGCCTCTGCCGCACCTGCTATTCTTACTACTAGTCCTGTCGAGCCTCCTGCTACTGCTGCTACTGCCGCTACGCTCGTCATCTCTAGCGATAGAAGGGTTGGTGAAATGTTGCTCTTATAAGTACTCGCCTAGTTGACTGCATGGGATTGATTCACAGCTCATGGCCTCGCTATTTAACTTTGATAGATTGGCATTACTGATTTTGAGTCTTCAGGACCCGATAATACTTATTCTAGAACCCACGTGTTTTTGACCCTCGACGCTAGGTCACCTTAACGTGGTGGTGGGGACCCAGGGTCCTCGACGCTGGGTCACCTTACCATGGTGGTGGTGGTGTTTGTGACCCTTAACGCTGGGTCATCTTACCGTGGTGGGGGTGTTTGTGACCCTCGACGCTGGATCACCTTACCATGGTGGTGGTGTTTTGTGACCCCTCGACGCTGATAATGATGGTAGAGAAGTCATAATAGCAGCTATTCATGTTGAAGGCACTGAATAGTCTAATGATTCTAGTGTTTTAAAATCCTTTTTTTTTTTTTGGCCGTAGGTACAGCAACAAATGTTAGCTCGTGGTGTCCCGTCTGATGCATTTATAAAAAATACATTTGTGTTTGAGTGTGAGAGAGTGAAGCAGGGAGAGGGAGAAAGAGAAATATATATAGCAAATATGGACTCAGCAGAGTCTAAAATATGTAAGATTCCAGAGTTTAGTAATAAAGTATAGCTTGTGTTTTTGCCAGGATTGGGACCAGTGTGATGGCATTGCGACCACTGATAAAGAAAGCTTAACGAATATCAACACGCTTTCATGCACACAAGATCCTTGTGCTGCGTGTCTACGCGCACGAGACAATGATATGGCTGCTCTTTTCGTATCTGGGATCATTTCGATGTCCCAGGAAATGATCAGGTGTGTGCCGAGGCGACGGTTGCTGTTAGTAGCTCACTTTACAATAGAATTTTTCCTTAGTGATTTCATGGACCATGTCCACAGATATGTCCTTGGAAAGTGGCAGGCCTAGTGGACGCTACAGACTGGCAGCAAAGTTATATAGGGTTCAGCGAGATGGAGCTGGTTGACCTTCAGCAGGAATCATCACTTTGAGACGAATCTCTGTCGACTGACGATCGGGAACACACTTCTCACAAATAGTCAAGTCACTTGTTTGTAGATCTTTTACTCCCACTGTGTAGCTTTTGTCGTACCACTGACTGGGGGACACTTTAGCAGTTTGTTCGAGGCCTAGGCCTTTCTGCCTTCATGGATTTTATAATTACCGAGGTACCTGTTGGGACCTCGGGGAATTTATAGGAGAGTCTTTTAACATTAATAATTAATGGAGTTGCAAGGAGTCTTGATACTGAAGACTTGACCAACAACAGCAACGCGTTTCCAAGGAGTCAAGCGAGGCTAAACTTAGGATTAATAATTTTCATTGATTAAGAATTGTTGTTTCTGTTTGAATATGATTTTCAGGGGTCAAATAATATCGATGGTGCTGATTATAGTATCAGTTGAAATGATAATAATGACGGTTAAGAGAAGCATTGAAACTCATAATCATAATAATGACTCCATAAATGATAGTAATACTGATAGGAAATATGATATAGTAACACGTAAATGATATTGATATTTTTGATAATACTCTTATGAACAGAAGGTTTTATGTGTACGTCCTAAAAACTGTCAATTATTGCCATTGAAGTACACACTTGTGCGCATTTAAAAGAAAGATTAAACAAACACATGAGTGGAAATGGTACGGTATAAGTTGGGCCTACCCAGCTGTAGCTGGAATGTGTGAACCCACAAGTTGGAATAAAATGAGATACGCATTTCCCTTGATTTACGAGTTTGTCGAAGTTAGATTTTTAAGTCTTGCCGCTGAAGCGGCATGACCGCATCCATCCTGTGTATGGACGGTAGCGTATGACCGCATTCATCCTGTGTATGGACGGTAGCGTATGACCGCATCCATCCTGTGTATGGACGGTAGCGTATGACCGCATCCATCCTTTATATGGACGGTAGCGTATGACCGCATCCATCCTGTGTATGGACGGTAGCATATGACCGCATCCATTCTGTGTATGGACGGTAGTGCATGACCGCATCCATCTTGTGTATGGACGGTAGCGTATGACCGCATCCATTCTGTGTATGGACGGTAGCGTATGACCGCATCCATTCTGTGTATGGACGGTAGTGCATGACCGCATCCATCTTGTGTATGGACGGTAGTGCATGACCGCATCCATCCTGTGTCTGGACGGTGGCGCATGACCGCATCCATCCTGTGTCTGGACGGTAGCGCATGACCGCATCCATCCTTTGTATGGACGGTAGCGCATTACCCCATCCATCCTTTGTATGGACGGTGGCGTATGACCGCATCCATCCTGTGTCTGGACGGTGGCGCATGACCGCATCCATCCTGTGTCTGGACGGTAGCGCATGACCGCATCCATTCTGTGTATGGACGGTAGCGCATGACCCCATCCATCCTGTGTATGGACGGTAGCGCATTACCGCATCCATCCTGTGTATGGACGGTAGCGCATGACCCCATCCATCCTGTGTATGGACGGTGGCGTATGACCGCATCCATCCTGTGTCTGGACGGTGGCGCATGACCGCATCCATCCTGTGTCTGGACGGTAGCGCATGACCGCATCCATCATGTGTATGGACGGTAGCGCATGACCGCATCCATCCTGTGTATGGACGGTAGCGCATTACCGCATCCATCCTGTGTATGGACGGTAGCGCATTACTGCATCCATCCTGTGTATGGACGGTAGCGCATGACCCCATCCATCCTGTGTCTGGACGGTGGCGCATGACCGCATCCATAATGTGTCTGGACGGTAGCACATGACCGCATCCATCCTGTGTCTGGACGGTGGCGCATGACCGCATCCATAATGTGTCTGGACGGTAGCGCATGACCGCATCCATCCTGTGTCTGGAAGGTAGCGCATGACTGCATCCATCCAGTATATGGACGGTAGCGCATGACCGCATCCATCCTGTGTCTGGATGGTAGCGCATGACTGCATCCATCCAGTATATGGACGGTAGCGCATGACCGCATCCATCCTGTGTCTGGATGGTAGCGCATGACTACATCCATCCAGTATATGGACGGTAGCGCATGACCGCATCCATCCTGTGTCTGGATGGTAGCGCATGACTGCATCCATCCTGTGGATGGTAGCACCAAAAAAAATGGGATTGTAGATGTGACAATGATTCATTATCATACTCCACTTGGCATAGCTGCATCACAATAGTATTAGTTATTATACTTATTACAATTATTTCGTGTAGTTAATGTATACCAAGTAATGTGAAAATACAATGAAAAATTAGGACACTTGTTAACTATAAAAAATACTGTTTATTGTTAGGTTGCAATCCCATTAAAAATCAATTCATCCAGAAAGAATAAAAAGACACAATTTCGTGACTGGAACAATACACAAATAACCCGCACGTAGGTGAAAGAAGGGTATGACTAAGTTTCTCTCCGACTTAGACCATACATACTGATCCCGTACCATTGTGTGTTAGTGTGTGCCTAGTTTATGGTCCAAGTCGGACCGAAACGTTGTCGTGTTTCTTCATCCTATGTGCAGGTTATTTGTGTACAGTTTATTCATCTGGTAGAATGTGGATATGATCATCAACAATGAGTCAGTTTGTCATATCCTGTGAGGTATGTATGGAAGTGTCTCTAGAAGGTTGGGTGTTTAGACAGGATAAGATATAGAAATTCTAGTGTACGGTCCTGTCTTTACATTTAATATCATTGGCATCTCGATACAAACCGTACTGTCAAAAGTATTTATAGCAAAGAACGTAGCTATTCTGTATTCGGTAGCACGAGTACATATCCATCTTGTGAACGGTAGCACAAGAACGCATCCATCCAGTGGACGGCAGCTCAAGAACAAATCCATCTATTCCTGTGCTCTAAAAAGTTTGTATTCCCATAAAAGGTTCGTAATTAGTTTTGCAAGCGCTATTATTATGTGGCTAAAAGTGGACGCAGTACTCACGTATCAGGATGTGTATGCATTTTCTGTCAAGATCATTTGAGACCGCAAAATATAGCTTAATGTGAGGCAGTCTATAGTGGTGGTCTGAGACCAGAACAATGAAAGATGATGAGTCAGTCTACTGAGATGGTCGGAGACCTTAGGACTCTACAAGATGATGAGGGGGAACCCTGTTATGGTGGCGTGAGAGTGTTGAACATAAGGCGGTAATTTAAAATGGTAAGAGAGCGCAGAATGTTGCAACATAATAAAATGGCTCTATTAAAATGGTCAGAGACCGTAAATCTCTGTAAGTGATAAAAGTAAGAGGATGGCAGAGAGTTAGTCTTTCCCAGTAGGTAAATGAGTTCTTACAGATTGTATGAAAAAAGCGCAGCTTGGAAAACATTAATAATGACAACGTTTCTCCTGAACATCCAACTTTTCTAAGTATAGTCACTGACTGGAAAACACCTGTTGCACAAGAACGACGTTGTCATTATTCTAGTTTCCTCAACTATACTTTGTGTCTTCTATCACAGTCATCCTTTATGTATTTGAGACCTTGGAGTATTTTATGTATTTGGATCAACCTTCTGCGCTGGTAATGTCTAAAGTCCAGGAACATCAACAAGATGGACAAGTCAACTCATTCATGGATCTGGAGTGATTTTCACAGCGTGTGTTATTCGAACCATCATGTTTGATTGAATATTTGTGAACCAGTCTGACTTAAGAAAATCCATCTCAAGATTTTCGGGTCGCTAAGCTGATAAAAAAAAACGCTGATTCCAGCAGAGGTAATCCAGCTGTCGCTGCTGCCGTGGACCATCACAAGGCCAGCGGCTGCATCACATTCACTTGTGTCCCTAGACACCCTCTGGTCCTTCCTTGCTAAAATATTGGCGTCAGTGGACTGGGCAGTGTTATGATAAAGACCTCCGCTATTGATTTTCTTTGACGAATAAACATCATTCTGAAAAGGGTGTAAAATATAGTAACAAATATACACCCAGCAAATTGAAAAAAAAAATCCTAAATATTCCCTTTCTTCCAGTATAATAAAAGACGAAATGATAAATTTTCCCTTTCATCAATAATTTGATTTGAGCTTTGTGTCGCCGTGCAGCGCACTGTCGACGCCCTCTTTGTGGGTCAGCCTGTCCTCCACACCTTCCCGGATGATCGCAAGACGTCGCTGCCCATCTGGAGGAGGAAGAACTCTGCCGCCTCCCGCAAGGACTCTGTCGCCACTACTCTCTCCAAGGCCTCTGAACGAGTAAGCCCCGAGCATCCCTTGTTACTCTGTGCCTCCTGGCGTAGTAGTTGGAGGTTCACACTCGAGGCTGTCATCAGGCACGACAGGGGGTTAGTGCCCCAGAGGAGGATCAGGCCTTCAACGTTAAGGTCGTTGCCAACTATATTCCAAAAGTAGGCTGCTCTATCTATGAAAGTTTATTTCGTTTAATGTTAGTTAGTGTTTGAGCAATTTAAATGATAGAGATGTTCATTAAATTTTATTCCCCCCTTCTTCACAGAGCCTTGTTTATCCCATTAAATATAATCTTAATATCTGCAGACACTTAAAACGTATGAGGCGCTCCCTGGAAAAATGCAGTAAGCGCCATTTGTAAAAAAAAAAAAATCGTAAGTGGCGACTGGCAGAGGTTTGTGAAAATCCCACGTTCTCAGTGACTGAGAACTGAGCTGAGACCCAGTCTCGAAGTGTCTTGCTTTCTCATAGAATTTTCTGCTCAAACCATGCGTGAGCTACTGAAGTGAAGACGATCATCATTTCGAAGGCAAATTTACCTTTCATTCTCGCCGCCACTTAGAGAAAGAGGAACAAAGCGAAACTATGGAAATGGAATAAATTCGGCCGGGATGGAGCTTACAACCTTGTTCCAGGGAGTGCCCCATATGGATTCTCGCACTGCAGGAAAATGCGGTCCACCTATTCCTCTGTCTTGTTTTTGTCGGTAAATCTGTTGTAGGACTCCAGTTGGTTCTTGTTTAGATGTTTCCTTATTGTTGTATGAGGTGACCAGCTCTTTACACATTTAACTGCCTCTTATTCCTAGAGGCAGCCTAACATTTCTTTCTTGTGAAATTATAAATGTAGCCTTTACCAACTTTTCAGTGTAATTCTCGATCTGTGTCTTCCTTTAACGGCAAACTTACGTGACTCTTTAATCAGATATTTTGAGAAACTTTCAAAAAATGCTTCTGACTACTATATGAATGAAAATTGTTTGATGTAGCGTTGTAGATGACAGCTGCCTCACATGAGACTGTAGGGCTCTGGTAGCTGCCTCGCATGAAATTGTAGACTTCTGGTAGCTGCCTCGCATGAGACTGTAGACCTCTGGTAGCTGCCTCGCATGAGACTGTAGAACTGTTGTAGTGGTCATTTTCCTGTTATATTATTACACTCGTATGCTAATATCTTCATTAAAATAAGCTTTACCAGCAGAAAAATTAGCTGAGATTTGTTAGGATTTTGGTTATTATTATTATTATTATTATTATTATTATTATTATTATTATTATTATTATTATTATTATTAGCGCTGTACTCTTTTGGTTCATTCAGTGTAAGGATTGTGGAAGTTCTATCCTCCCAGGATTCTATACAGTTCTGCAGAAAGTTTAGAGGAAGCTATATTTTTTATGTGTAACGTAAGAGTTGCTATATAACTATGAATAAAAGTCCTGCGATATCTCCTTACTGCAACCGCGGTATCTCATTGTTGAAGATGCGATGTCTCTTTGTTAAAAAATCTGCTGTATCGTGTCTGCTTTGTGAAACTGATGTCTTATTGTTGGAGAAACTGCGATATCTATTTGTAAGTGCCGCTGTAATATTAATATCTCTGATCAGAAAAGCTTTGAAAGCTACTTAATTAGAATAGGGACCGGGGTGTAACCATGAGCAGGTGAGCGAGTCATTAAGAGAAGAGTTACAGCGGTTTGTGTTGGTGCAAGTGATGGTAGTTCCTCTCGGTGTGGGGAAAAACTTAAGAGAAACACATTATCAAATGAATAACATGATATCTGTTTTTAAATTTGTACCATGATCACCCGTCTTAGGCTATCATAGGGTAAGTGGGTTGTTTACTCGCCGGAGGAAATTCCTATCGGTGCAGGTCTTAGTAATAAAGACTTGCTCTAGGATAAGCTTTCAGGCAACATTTTTCCGACTTACTAGTTTAAATCGACAGTTAAGGGAGACCTTTATTAGTACGTTTCACGTAGGTTGTTACGTGATATTAATGAAGGTATCTTCTTGCAATATGTATCTTATTTAACCACTTATCGGCTATTGTGCAAAAATAATAACTCAGACTACATTATAAGATGAATAAATTCTTTAGTCATTATTATTATTATTATTATTATTATTATTATTATTATTATTATTACTATTATTATTATTATTATTAGTACCAGCAAAGAAGGTTTCTTGATGTTGCAGTGTCTGACAGATGTGATAAATGGTTTTGAAAACCGACAACATCAACATCATGGGATCTTTGTACAAAGACTTCAACGCTTGCCCAACCTTTGGACGACGACCTACTTACACTAGTGGCACGTCCCACTGTGATCCCGCCTCCTCCTGCTTCAACTCATCTCACCGCAGTATATAAGTCACCTCTCTTGCCCTATGCTGCACTTCCTACAAGAGTGATGGACTGAACACATTGATTCCAGGTTGAGGGACTGATTACCTCAAACTTCTACTCTCCTAACCCATTTATACTTTGTATTGGACTGATGAAGCCACTGTGTGGCGAAACGTTTCTTCAATAAAGATTCCCATGTGTTGCATAAGTGCCTCAATTCTTCAACTTGTCGGTTTTCAAAACCATTTGTCACATGCTAGTATTGTTATGCAAATTCACCCACAGTTCTCCTGTACTTTTTGAATTCAAATTATAGATAAGTTTTGTTAATACATACTTTAATATGAAAAAAATCCATTCTATAAGTTTATTCCGAGGAGGGGAAGGTAACTCTAAATTCCTTTGTGATAGACAATGGCAAAACCCGACAAATAATGACACTTCTGCGAGTGCGTATTTCCTCTAATTCCTTATCAGGCCTTGACAGCATTCAGGTCTTTCGGCATATATGATGGAAATATTTCTTCTTGTGCCTAAATTTGCTGACACGGCCAATGACACGGAACGAATTATATATGTGACAAATTGTCTTTCTTCGTGATTATGGTTTCTGTGATATAACAGTGAATTGATCACGACAGTAAGACGTTGATAATAAAGATGTAAATTTTGATTATGTTAAAAACAGTATATGCTTAATGTTCTTAATAACCAAACAGTTAAAATGCTTTGTAAATAAGATAAAAAAAAATGCTATCATCAAGAGATCCCTTGAAGGATAATCACCAGTTAGTGTTCCCTGGCATCCCGTTGACGCCAGTGTTTCTACTGCAGCGAGCAGCGTGAGGCTTTGTACCTTCACACCTTCAATTTGTTGCATGTAGAGGAGTTACGCCCCCACACACGAATGGGTATAGACACAACATAGAGAATTAGCTTTTATTGGCGCTACGCTTTGTTCAGGGTTCAGTTTTATTTAGCTCGACCCTGAGTGAGATGTAATCCGGTTAAAAGCTTGTTTCTGCATATTCAGGGAATATGCAGGATTCGAACCCATGGTAAGCAAGTCCGAAAACCAGCAGCCCTGTGCTGGTTTGCCATGGTTTGCAATGGTGTTACTACGATTTCGCAAGTCCTTGTGAATTTTTGTCTTTGTGTACATACTCTTCTTCCTTCTTGCCGGGGCCTCGGGCAACTTTTAGGGGAATCTTTTAGTGTTAAAAACTTAATACCCTCTCAAGGTAGGCGCTAAGTGTGCCAGTGAGGAGCTCTTGGTGCAAGGAATTGGATTTGTCTTTTCGTTCTTTTGGATCGAATATGATTGTCTCCTATTCACCAAAGCACCATGTGGCCCTTATGGGTTTATCGTTTCCAGAATATAATATATTAATTCATATATAATATAAATTTAATGCAGGAGTTTTAACGGATACAGATTATTTAAACTTCGTCTGATTACGTTTCTTACTGTGTCTTTTTTTAACTAGTATTTTTTTTTTTACTTGGAATGTAAATGTATTAATGTGGCCTTGTGAGGACTGTAATATACCGAGTGTTGAGTCCTCATTTAGTCCCATTACTCCTAAAATTTAATCATTGCTTACACTCTGGTGTTGCTGGTGGTGCAGGTGGGGTCGTTCGCCGAGGAGTCAGGGCGGAGCAGGTCGTCGATGCGTCCAGCTACGTCACTGGACGGTATCAGTCACCACCGTGTGTCACATCCGAGGGGCAGAGACTTCCCCTCACGTTCAGCCACCATCACCTCAAGTATGTACTACATCTTGGCTTGTATTCTCTCTCAATCTGTTCATTTCCTCTAGCTGTTTCTCCATGTTTTTTACGGTTCTCGTCAACCCCCCCCCCCCTTTTTCTCTCTCTCTCTCTCCTCTCTCTCTCTCTCTCTCTCTCTCTCCTCTCTCTCTCTCTCTCTCTCTCTCTCTCTCTCCTCTCTCTCTCTCTCTCTCTCTCTCTCTCTCTCTCTCCCCCTCCCTCCCTCCCTCCCTCCCTTAATCCCCCTCTGTTTCCTTCCCCTCTCTCTTCCTGTCTCCATTTCTTCTCTCTTCCTGTCTCCATTCCCTCTCCTTCCCCCTTTTTTTTTTCTCTCTCTCTCTCCATATTCCTTTTCTCTTCAAAATCTGTTTAAATTAATTCCTTTCTGTTTTCAGGCCAAACAGTTAAAATAAGCTTTGTTTGTCATCTTCATGCTTAGGCTGTGAATAAATTCCCCATACGACTCCTAGTTGTCTAAATCTCCATTTTGCTCATGTTTTGCTGTACCCTCCAGAGCTTAAGGCAGATATAGTCTCTTATACCTCCTTTTTTTAGGGGGATTCCCAACACAATTTTGATTCCAAGAATCTCAAATCATTTTTTCTTGGATAAAATTGACTCTTTTTTTTCTGTAGCTTTGCAAAAGTTCTGTGAAATCCTCTCTTTGGACGAAGCTTTAGTGTGATTCCCAAATTCATTATGTCTTACAGTGACGTTGTTAACATATCCAGTCACTCCTCTGTATCAGTGTTTATTTGCCTACTTTTCAGTGTTTGTTTCTTGGCAATAACAGCTTATTTTATTTGTCTCCAAAAAAAAGTGCTTTTCGCTCTTGATTTTACGAATTCCTGCATCGCTATTTTTGTAATCATCTTTTTTCCAGAAGAAAATTTGGAAGAAGTAGCGAGCGAATCGTCAGTCTCGCTAAACAGTCGTACGTAAACTTAGTGTTAGAGACTGTGGTTTAGCTGCGACTAGCCCAACATGTAGCCTCGGACTAGCTTGGTTTTGTAGTCCGCCTACGATTTGGCCATTTGATTTTAGTTTATGCTGGTTTTAAATTTTGTGTACCTTTTGCTGTATACTTTTAAGTGCTATAATTAGTCTAATAGTGTGTCCCTGCTGATATTGTATTGAACCTGCATCTCCTTAGTAACTGGCGTGCGTTATTTCTTGGTTCAAATAGGCTTCTACATGTAAGCGACGTGTATTCAAGGAGTCCACAAAAGAGGAATTTATGTACTTTAAAAAATTCTTTTACTTTGATCTTGGACTTAAGTAGACTAGCTCTAGACATTAGAACGGTAACCGTTTTTTTTAGTCAATATAAAATTGACGAAATATTGACGCCTTTTTGGTAATGGTTAATATCGATGAGTTGCTGAATGGGATTTCGTCGACCCACGTAAAGAAAGTAAACACTGGACTAGCTTGGAAGTAGTTTCCGTACTACATAAATCGCATTAGATTTTTTTTTGAAAATTGTGTTACGGAAGATTCTGTTTTTTTTTTTTTTTTTTACAGAGGATAAAAGAATGTGATCGGTAAAGTCAGTCGGTTACCTTTTTAAAGTTCCCCGAATATCTTTCCACAATGAATGGTGCTCAGGATTTTTCAGCTTACTAAAGAACCGGACCTGTGAACGCTGTTGAATACCTGTGTTAGATCTGCAAGTTTCCATGTTGCGAAATTTTCATTAAGATTATTAATACTTTTGCCAGTGCCATCAAAACAAATTTTGGTTTATGGGTTATAGGCTAAGAGAGCTATGGTTTTCTTTATTCAAAAGATGCTTTGACTTATCAGTCGATTACCCTCACCTTGTTACATTATAACATCGTGTTTGTATGGATATTTACTCGAATAGTACGTATAGAAGTAAGCCACCTAGAGGCTCCTTGATGAGTGGGAAGTATGTTCTTGTGTCTTCTAAGATGTCGATAAATACAAGCGATTTTTCCGCGAATGAGGCAAGTTAGACACTAACAAATTTGTATGAAATCTGTTAATAGTCAGGAAAAATGTAAGTCGACTGGCAACAAGCAGTCGAAAGGAAATCTTTTTAACTTGCTACTGTGGCGGTGACGGTGACGGTACACGAGTGTCACACATGTCGAGTTTTAAACACATGCTGGTCTTTATAACATGTAAGCAGGTTTTATATCTGTTATCAGATCAGATTTTCGATTTGGTTATACCTTTTTTTATAAGATTTGCAGTTCTGTAATTCAAATTAAAAACGTGGTTTAAAATATTTAACTTTTTGCAAGTTAATTTTCGTATATATGGCAGAACAAAATTTCTATATTTAATAGCAATATGTCTTGTATAAATAAACATGAGATAGTGAATCTTGTTGAATTAGTTCTCACGTTGCGGCTTTGATACCCACCTTAGTGGTGTCGGGGACACAAACAGCCTGACTGACCGAGTCATCATCCTTGAGTCATATAAGAGCAGGTCACGGGCGCCATGATCCTGGAACCATCTTCATGTAACAGTGACATACAAGGAAGTTATTGGACTCAAGTGTTGTTTTCTTAATCGCTTATACTTTTTTTTACCTAGTTCATACCTAACATATCGTTTTTCGCAAAGATTGCTGGACGATTTAATATTCCTTATTTTCCGATAATAGTACTGCTTTTATAATTTCCACTGCTAATCCTTCCTCATTGTCCTTCCTCACACAGCTATTCTTCAATTTTTTTTCGAGTACTGAGTTCATATAAAAAATAATTTAATTCACATAGAGCTAGGAGGTTCCCAGGATGCATTTCTCCTTGGCTTAATTAACTGAAGCGTTTTTCAAATTGATAATTTGTTTCTGCTAATAAGAATTTCAGTAGTTGCTTCATTGCTTGTCATGGTGTGACTCTGGTGCATCACCATATATCTAGCCAGCAGTAGTTGTAACTCTCATTGTAGTTCCTTAATGATCTCTTAATATATTATAATGTAAATATGTAAATATGTCACATCTTGCACAACTCTTAATTTTACAGTCTATTTCCTTTCTTGTTTTCATGAATCAATATCTCACTCTACTGTAGTCAGATATTAAAGTGTAAGTCCCATTTTCTTCTTTATTTATGGGTTAAAATTGCCTTAGTCTGGGGTACCAATTGTAAGACCCAATTTCTTCCCTGCTTCATCTAGCGGCAGTTTCTCTCAACAGAATGGCAGTGAACAATAAGATTTGTTTTTCTCCCTTACCCTTACCAACACTCCTGCCTGCCTTCCAGACTTAGAATGAAGCCTTATGTATTTCCTCACATGTTCCTTTTTTTTACCCCAACTTGTCAAGCTGAAAACCCTTTACCAATCAACCCCTTATCTACATCACCGCTAACTCTCTCTTCCCCACCCAACCCCAGACCCATTTTTTAGCAATAGCTAAGTTATCCCCTCAATACCAAGGATTCTGTAACTTAATCAGAACGTTGGTTCAGTAGTATATGGACTACCTCCTTCATCATAACATATTCTTACGCTAAGACTTTTTATGGGGTCTTATTTGTGTTATGTTAAAATTGGTTAATTAATTAATGCTATTTTGACATATAATGTTAACATAGCAAAAAAAAAAAAAGTTGTGACTGAGGACAAGTTGCATACCTGTAGCGCCGTTATTTTCTGCACCCTCTCCCATATATTTAACCTGGTATGAAGCTGGTACCCAAGGGTATATACACCGAAAGGTGTCAATCTTTCAGTGTATATATGCTGACAGTTTATTTAAATATCTGTTTCGGAGACTAAGTATCCTTGATTGGAAATATACAGGAGACTTGCAGCCTAAATGACCAATGAGTAATCGATAAGCTTTTTAAAATTAACAAACTAATTTGGGTACTTTTGGCTGCCTGTCGGTGCAAAATGTTAGGTGATTGTTTGAACATCCTAGTATGTCAGGTGATCTATGTGCACGGAGAGTCGGGGCGTCTGGACCAGGTGGCTTCCTACAAGTGAATTATAAGTATACCTGTTTAGTGCATTTTATCAACGAGAAAAAATAATTTTTATAACATAATTCACGTAAAACATAGAAGAAAACTTACGCAGTCAGACCTCCCGTTTCATGTGCATATTGGATTATTTAATGTTATTCCCCGTGTTATTTGCTGTTGTTAAACTCTCTCTGTTGGTTCTCTTGTTTTTATTGTATGTTTTGTGTTTGTTGGTGTTGTATCATTAGATTATATTAACTGTTGTTATCTTTTGCTCTGTTATCGTCCTCTCTTTGTGGGTTCTCTTATTTAATGTTGTATTGGTTGTTATGTTGTTAAAATATGTAATGTTATTCTCTATGTTATTATTGATAACTTATTTAGTGGGTTCTCTTCTTATATCTGTTGTTGCATTAGTGTTGTATCTGTTGTATTGTAGATGTATGTTTAGAGTGTATCTCAGTGAGCCTGATGTAATCACAATGTTGTCCTTCAATGTGGTATAGCCTCTCTCTCTCTCTGTCTCACTCTCTCTCTCTCTCTCTCTCTCTCTCTCTCTCTCTCACACACACACACACACACACACACACAAAGCCAGGTCTAAAATCAACTTAAAACCAGTCAGGTATCACTTCAAAAGTTTACCTTAACATTAATTTTTCTACCGAACACAACTCATTACTGAGTTATTAAAAATAATGATAACATATTAATCAACAATATATGTTATAATTATAACGAATGTTATTTTAATCATGCATACTCGGCTTTAAGGTGTCAAGTCAGTATAATAATGTCACCCACAGTACAGTTCCAAAATAACGGTAGAGACACAATACCACAGTAATGGATGCTGGGAAATCAGTGGAGCAAAACAAATCTAAGTTTAAACCAAGACACTTTCTCCTGTTGTGCGGCCCATGGTGTTGTTCGTGGTGCTCTCCATGGTGCTGTTGATGGTGCTGCCCTTGTGCGGCCCATAGTGTTCTTGGTGCTTCCAGTGGTGTTGTTCATGGTGCTGCCCACAGTGCTACCCATGCATGATAA